TTGATTCCTCTGAGGTCCAGAACTGGACGGAATCCGCCAACTTTCTTGCTCACAAGAAAGTACGCCGAGTAGAACCCCCCGCCCTGAAGCAGGGGGTCCACTGGCTCGATTGCGCCCTTGGCCAAGAGGATGGACAACTCTTGGGCGAGAGCTAAGGCCTTCGCCGGGTAGTTGACGACTGTCATTCTGACCCGGCCGAAGGCTAGGGGCCGGCGTCGGAACTGCAATTCGTAGCCCTGGGTTAGGGTGGAAACCACCAAAGGGTCGGAAATACAGGCAGCCCAGTAGCTGAGCTGCTGCTGGGAAAAACAAGCCGCCGACCGGCCCGGGACTTCAGGGCCTAGCCCCCCGGCCCCCCTGGGGGGCGCCGGTAAGGCTCTGAAGCACGAGGCCGCCTGGAAGCCAGGCGACCTGGGGCACGAAAGTCATTGGCCGGTTGAGTGGGCCGCTGGGACCTCTGCAGACCACCCCTGTAAGCCGGTGGCTGAGTGCGGCTGCTAGAGCGGCCCCTGGCCTGCTGGGAGTGGCCACGGGTCTGCGAAGACAGCTCCCCTGGCTCTACTGGCATGCTACGGAGAACTCTCCTACATGTCTCCGTTAGTGGTGACTGGGCCAGCCAAACCTGGAGACGAGTCTGTACCAGAAAGGACATCTTCCCAATTCCCTAGTCATTAGGGCAAAGGCCTGCAGTGATGCATCACTGAGGCCCAACAAAGAAGGCTCGGCCGGGGCCTGCTGCAGCGAGGTGGAGACGGCCAGCATTAAATGGGAGAGGGAGTTCCCGATACGACCCATGCGTGCCGCTGCGTCGTAGGCCCTACAGAGCAGCCCATCTGTGACCCTGCACTGAGGCCGAGGGCACCTGACCTCAGGGCCTTAGAGCCTCGTCAGGAGCCAGAATCAGGGAGGCGATGGCAGGCTAAATGGGTGGCATGCCACCCAGCCCCACCTCGCCGGGTCCTGCATGGTAGCCAAGGTCCGGGCATCAGAGCCAGGTGCGGCATAGGGCCCTGGGTCCCTCCAGCATGCCTGGAGCTCCCTCAGGTACTCCTCTGAAGGAGGAACGGTGAGGGGGACAGGGGCTGGGCTACGCCTGAAGAAGGCCACTAACCTCAACCAAGTCGGCCTGCGGAACCGGAATCTGCAGGTGCGCCAGGGCCGTACGAATAATGGCCGCCATGGAGTCATACTCCACGCCCTGCAGAGACCCCCTGGACAGAGGAGAGGGAAGCCTCCTCGAGCGGGACCCCGTCTCCGTCTCTCATTGAAGAGGTTAGCGAAGCCGCTAGCGACAAGGCATCCTCAAACAGAGGTGCGGCACCTGAAGGAGGGGCGGCAACCGAAGGAGGGGCAGGCGGCAACACTAGCAGCCCCTATACCGGGCCTGGCTGAAGGGCCAAGAGGAGCGACTTCATCGTGTCCATGTCGGTAGCTAGCTGATCCACTTTAGAGGACAGCCTGTTTTATGTCCTCCTATTGGGGGTTGCACCCCATGGCCATCGCTCCCTCAAGTCGCCGGGGACGGCCCCGAAACTGATCTGGAGGAGGATGTGACCAAGAAGACGGTGTCCACATTGGCTGCCGCCAGACGTTCCACCTCAGTGATTCTAGCCACTCTGAGTGCCGGGGCATGCAGCTACAGTTCATGCAGGCACCTACCGTGAGAGCCTCCCTTAGATGCTCGAGGCCGATGGCAAGAGGGGCAGCGGTCGTGGCCGTCCTCGGGCTCAAGAGAAGCCATACAGGCGCTACATGAATGAGTCATTCTGTAGGTAGCCAGATGCAGAGTAGCCGGGAGCGGGAGCGGGTGCGGGAACACAAGCCTTCACCCGCTACCTGCTTAACGGAAAGAGTAGAGCCGACGACGCTACTCGCCAAACAGAAAGAGGGATGTAATTACACCCACGTTACGGCAGAGGGAGCGGGAGCGAGAGCACTGCCTTCATCTAGCTGGATTAATAACTAAGGCAGTTTACCAGGAGCGGGGGCGAGAACACTGCCTTCACTGGCTGAGCTAGAGGCGAGTGCCAGATTGCAGCGTAACAGGGAGCGGGTGCGGGAACACAGCCTTCACCAGCTACCTGCTTAACGGAACCCAGGCAGTTTAGCGTCTACCAGGAGCGGGGGCGGGAACACAGCCTTCACCAGCTACCTGCTTAACAGAAAAAACAGGCAGAACATTGCCTTCACTGGTTAAATTAAAGATGAATGCCAGATGCAGCGTAACCGGGAGCAAGTGCGGAACACAGCCTTCACCAGCTACCTGCTGAACGGGAAGAGTAGAGCGGTGCTGCTAATCGCCGAAAAGAAAAAAGGGATGTAGCTACACCCACGTTACCGGCAGAGGGAGCGGGAGCGAGAGCACTGACTTCACCTAGCTGGGTAAAATCAAGAAGCTTTAACACAAAGCTAAGACCAGAAACTGGCTTCTAAAGAAAAAACAGCACGGGAAACTCCGGTGCTTAACCCGGCGTCAGCCGAGTGGTCGCAGCCGCTACTGCTAACTAGCCAAACAAGAAACACAGCTCAATGCTAATGAATTTCGGCACAACGCCGCGGCCAGAACAAGTACAAAGCACAGCAAGGGCAACTCCTGGGATGAGGGAGCGGAAACACCTCCGTCACCAAAAAGTTCAAGCCCAAAAGCAAACAGACAGTAATCAGGACAACTAGGCTGGGAGAGGGAGCGGAGACACTGCCATCTGGAGGACGGGTAAGCCCGCGGCCCCGACTGGGTGAGTCGCGAAGCTGCACGCAGCCAGCTGTTTGCAGAGAATCCTGACAAGTGTTCCAACTGAACGAACGCTGTAGGCTACAAAAATGTAGCCAAGGTACTCTCGCGCAGCGAGAAGATGAAAGGAACAGATCCTCTGACGACACCGGCTGATATAGCCGGTATCACGTGGGTCACAGGTGACTTTGTTGTTATTGGTACTCGAGCTGCACATGCGCGCGATGGACATATCCAGTGCTAACGCACCGCCTCTGGCGGTCAGTAGGGACGAAATAGAACCATTGGGCCACTGAAAATACAATAACAACTCAGGAGGGAGCCAGTCTAGATTTCCTTTTGAGGGCCACCAGCTGCAGAGAGTTAACTAATTAAAGGGGCGTGGCCCCCACATCTGTGAGAAGTCAGCAATCAGGTGTCCATTTTAGGGTAGCACTCTTCCTGGAGTGTCAGCTTCAGCGTCAGACAGACTAAGACTGACAAAGACAAAGGAGTCCTGCGGGAGAAGACTGACAAAGACATTAGAGTCCTGCGGGAGTCACGAGGGAGGCAAAGAGGAGGCAAATCCTACTTTGATTGAGCTAAGTATCGCTGGTGTTTTATTTTCTTTGGTTGTTTAGCCCCTCATGCTATAATCATGTGTATTTTCTCCATTCCTGTTCATGTGTCTTCTCGCAATTATCACTGGCCCCGTGTATCTCCTAATCGATATAACCGGCCTGCTCTCGTCTATCCCACGTGCTCCACTGAGATCCAACATCTAGTTTCAGGCGGCCTGTGGAACTGCCAGTCAGCTGTTCCTAAGGCCGACTTCATCTCTGGCTACGCTTCCCTGCAGTCTCTGGATTTCCTTGCTCTCACTGAGACCTGGATTACTCCATCCAACACATCCACCCCAGCAGCTCTCTCCACTGCATATTCCTTCTCCCATACACCAGACCCACTGGCAGAGGAGGTGGCACTGGTCTCCTGCTCTCTCCCAAATGGAGCTTTTCCCTCTTCAAGCTACCTAACTTCATCCTTCCACCTTTGAGTTCCATACCGTCACAGTAACCCATCCTATACAATTAACCATTGTTTGTTCTCTACCGTCCACCAGGCGCCTTGGGGGACTTCTTGGAGGAATTAGATAATCTCCTCTCACACATCCCTGAAACTGGCCCCTCCCGCTGTACTTCTCGGAGACTTCAACCTCCAGACGGGGAAGATAGACGAACTAAAATCTCTGTTAACCGTCTTTGCTTTCTCACTGTCTCCATCCCCACCGACTCATAAAGCTGGCAATGTCCTGATCTCATATTCTCAAGGAACTGCGCTACTTCTAACCTCTCTGTAAACCCGCTCCACACATCCGATCACTTCTTCATTTCATTCTCTCATCCCTTTCCAAACATAACAAACTAATCTCTTCTCATCCTGCACCTGTCCGCCGTAACCTTCATTCCCTCTCCCCCTCTACCTTTCCTCATCGGTGCTCTCAGCCCTCCCTTCATCTGACTCGTTCCAACTGCTGCCTCCAAACTCTGCTGCAGAAAACTAAATGATGCATGTGTGCTAATAGAACCGTCCTTTAGGGCAGCAGAGCGGAAACGGTGGAAATCCCAAACACCGTGACGACCTCCTAACCTATCAGGCTCTCCTCTCCTCTTTCCTCTGCTTCCATCTCTCAGGCAAAAAGCACTTTCTTTCCAAGATAAGATCCAATCTTCCTATTCCAATCCCAACAAACTATTTTCCATCTTCTCCTCCCTCCTGGACCCCCCCAAAGCCCCTTCCCCCTCCTCCCTCTTGGACCCCTCCCAAAGCCCCTTCCCCCTCCACCCCTCCTGGACCCCCCCAAAGCCCCTCCCCTTCCTCCCTCTTGGACTCCCTCTTGGACCCCCCAAAGCCCCTTCCCCCTCCACCCTCCTGGACCCCCCCAAAGCCCCTTCCCCCCTCCTCCCTCTTGGACCCCTCCCAAAGCCCCTTCCCCCTCCACCCTCCTGGACCCCCCCCAAAGCCCCTTCCCCTTCCTCCCTCTTGGACTCCCTCTTGGACCCCCCCCAAAGCCCCTTCCCCTCCACCCTCCTGGACCCCCCCAAAGCCCCTTCCCCCTCAGGACAGCAGATAGCTTACACACCTTCCAGACTGAAAACTCATCTCTTTCGACTCCACTTCCAGCGATAGAACTATTAACAAAGCACTTATATACTAATAAAGGACTGGCTTATCTAAAGCCAGTTGAGTAGCACTTGAAATGTTTGGCTCTATGAAACCTGATGTACTTTATGATTCTGTTTTCTTCAAGGTTGTATTTTGTTGGTCGAATGTACTTATTGTAGGTATCTCTGGATAAAAGCCTCAGCTAAATGCAATGTAATGTAATATAATATATATGATGACTGATGGTTCCAGGTGAGTTTACCTGCAGGAGTCCTTTCAGGCTGCTCAGGTGAGATCTGATCTGACGTCTGATTCACCTCCACCATCACCTTCCCCTCACCTGTAGTAGTAGAGTAGTATCAGTACTGCAGTATAAGTACCTATGAGTAGTATAAGTACCTATGAGTAGTATCAGCAGTACTGCCAGTCTATAAGTACCTATGTAGTAGTATCAGCAGTACTGCAGTTGTAAGTACCTGTGAGTAGTATCAGTACTGCAGTATAAGTAACTATGCGTAGTATCAGCAGTACTGCAGTATAAGTACCTATGAGAGTAGTATCAGCAGTACTGCAGTATAAGTACCTGTGAGTAGTATCAGTACTGCAGTATAAGTACCTGTGAGTAGTATCAGTACTGCAGTATAAGTACCTGTGAGTAGTATCAGTACTGCAGTATAAGTACCTGTGAGTATCAGCAGTACTGCAGTATAAGTACCTGTGAGTATCAGCAGTATAAGTACCTGTGAGTATCAGCAGTATAAGTACCTGTGAGTATCAGCAGTACTGCAGTATAAGTACCTGTGAGTGTCAGTAGTACTGCAGTATAAGTACTGTGAGTATCAGCAGTACTGCAGTATAAGTACCTGTGAGTATCAGCAGTACTGCAGTATAAGTACCTGTGAGTATCATCAGTACTGCAGTATAAGTACCTGTGAGTATCAGCAGTACTGCAGTATAAGTACCTGTGAGTGTCAGTAGTACTGCAGTATAAGTACCTGTGAGTATCAGCAGTACTGCAGTATAAGTACCTGTGAGTATCAGCAGTACTGCAGTATAAGTACCTGTGAGTATCAGCAGTACTGCAGTATAAGTACCTGTGAGTATCAGCAGTACTGCAGTATAAGTACCTGTGAGTATCATCAGTACTGCAGTATAAGTACCTGTGAGTATCAGCAGTACTGCAGTATAAGTACCTATGAGTATCAGCAGTACTGCAGTATAAGTACCTGTGAGTATCAGCAGTACTGCAGTATAAGTATCTGTGAGTATCAGCAGTACTGCACTATAAGTACCTGTGAGTATCAGCAGTACTGCAGAGAAGGCGTTCTGCAGCGCTCGCTCTCTGACGGTTCTCTGCATTCTGCAGCGTCTCTGCAGAAGAACCTCTGGACCTGAAACAACCAGAACCATCAGAACCTGTCCTCACCTGCAGCCTGTCCTCACCTGCAGCCTGTCCCACCTGCTGTCTGTCCTCACCTTGCAGCCTGTCCTCACCTGCTGCCTGCCCTCACCTGCTGCCTGTCCTCACCTGCTGTCTATCCTCACCTGCTGTCTGTCCTCACCTGCTTGTCTGTCCTCACCTGTCTGTCCTCACCTGCCTGTCTGTCCTCACCTGCTGTCTGTCCTCACTGCTGTCTGTCCTCACCTGCTGTCTGTCCTCACCTGCTGTCTGTCCTCACCTGCAGCCTGTCCTCACCTGCTGCCTGTCACCTGCTGCCTGCCCTCACCTGCTGCCTGTCCTCACCTGCTGCCTGTCCTCACCTGCTGTCTGTCCTCACCTGTCTGTCCTCACCTGTCTGTCCTCACCTGTCTGTCCTCACCTGTCTGTCCTCACCTGTCTGTCCTCACCTGTCTGTCCTCACCTGTCTGTCCTCACCTGTCTGTCCTCACCTGTCTGTCCTCACCTGTCTGTCCTCACCTGCTGCTGTCCTCACCTGCTGTCTGTCCTCACCTGCTGCCTGTCCTCACCTGCTGTCTGTCCTCACCTGCAGCCTGTCCTCACCTGCTGTTGTCTCACCTGCCTGTCCTCACCTGTCTGTCCTCACCTGTCTGTCCTCACCTGTCTCTCCTCACCTGTCTCATCTGTCTCACCTGCTGTCTCACCTGAGCAGGTGAGCTGTCCTCCAGCACGGCGGCCCCCCCCCCCCTGTGGATCACGTTTTGTGTCGGGGAAGCAAGAGCTGAACCAGGCAGCCGAACTTAAGCCTTCCTCCGGCTGCCCCCCTCCCTCCTCTTCATCCCTCCTCTTCTTCGTTGGTGAGCTCCTTCAGCTGAGGAGGACAGACAGGAGGTCACCTGCCATCACACTGACTCACCTGTATACACGCGTGTGTGTGTGTGTGTGTGTGTGTGTGTGTGTGATATTCACAGTGATGATGTCAGAGGTCCAACCGTTGAAGCCCAGGCAGTGATTGGCCAGGTCCAGGCAGCGGGCGTGGCTTAGAGGTCTGCTGACGGACAGGAAGTGAGGCGTCTGTCTGGAGCTCAGCCTCACCTGAACACACAGAGACTGTATTCAAGACCTTTATCTAGTCTCTGCTCCGTCCCTCTAGTCTCCCTCTAGACTATGCTCCGTCCCTCTAGTCTACGCTCCGTCCCTCTAGTCTACGCTCCGTCCCTCTAGTCTACGCTCCGTCCCTCTAGTCTCCCTCTAGACTATGCTCCGTCCCTCTAGTCTCCCTCTAGACTATGCTCCGTCCCTCTAGTCTCCCTCTAGACTATGCTCCGTCCCTCTAGTCTCCCTCTAGACTACGCTCCGTCCCTCTAGACTATGCTCCGTCCCTCTAGTCTACGCTCCGTCCATCTAGTCTACGCTCCGTCCCTCTAGTCTACGCTCCGTCCATCTAGTCTCCCTCTAGACTATGCTCCGTCCCTCTAGTCTCCCTCTAGACTATGCTCCGTCCCTCTAGTCTACGCTCCGTCCCTCTAGACCAGGGGTGGCCAACCAGTCAGAGGTTAAGAGCCAATATTTTTCTATTTTACTGCAAAGAGCCACATCAAACACACAGTCACTGATACCGCTTGTTTCAGTTTTTTGTTTTCTGGAGACAATATTTCAACCACGTCACTGATGCATTTTTGTGGCATTGGATATATATTTTTTAAATCCTCTGGAGCAGAGAGAGGAGCTGTGGATTATTGTTATTGATTAATGCATCAGTGTTTCTTAGGGTCAAAAACACTAAACTCACAACTTAAAATGAAAGCGTTTAGTTTATTTAATAAAAGAGCACATGTTCAATGTGAAAAGTGACAGTAGTTATAGATTATTTGCAATTTGGTGCTATGTATATATTAAAAAATAATAATAATTATATATATTTTTTAAACACCTTGAATTTCAGGGGGGGCGCGGGGCTCCGTTGGCGGGGTGCAGCGCCCCTCCAAGACAATGGTAGGGGAAACACTGGATAGTGTTTAATCAACGATAGGTTTCCCCCCCCTCAAAGGTGATTGGTTCACTGCATCGCAGGTATTATTGTGATTGGCTCTTGGGCCACATCAAAATTAGACGCGCTGTCATCCTCTCATACTGACACCTGACACCACACATACACACGTAGGGAGAGCCGGGACGAAAGTAACACGGGACGAAAGTAACGGAGCGATTTTATCCGAGCCCAAACAACTTTGACCGGCCAAATTACGTCAGAATTATCAGCATTCAATACTTAACAGACCTACTAAATATCAGGTTTAACTGTCAGGAGTAGCTAGTGTTGTCACGGTACCAACATTTTGTTTTCGATACCAAGTCAAGAATTGCGATTCCGATTCTTTTTCGATACTTTTCTTAAAAAAAGGGAAACAGCCTTAAATGTAATTATTGTGCTTTATTTCACACCAGAACCATAACCATAACACAAACTTTTAAACAATGAGAACAATAAATAAAACAAATGACAATAATTCGTATTAAATCAAATTAATACATTTCTCACAGACGGGCCTCGTGGTGTCCGTAGGCTTGCCCTCACTGTCAGAGATATAGCTAAAATACTTCCAAATGTTGCTTCTGGCGTCTTTTTTGTCAACAAGCCGAGGCGCAGCGGCAGTTGCACTCCCACTTGCAGCCATGCTTCTCGTTTTCTCACATGCTCTGGCAGCTAGCGCGTGCACGAGAGAGGGGAGGGACTTAGAACGTGCTTGAGAGGGAGGGACTGCAGGCACGGCTGCAGTGCAGGGAGTGGAAGCAGAGCGCTGAACACACACGGCTCTTATTAAACGGCGCTTTCTCACCGGAGTACTTTCCCCCGTCATTCTTAAAGTACCGATACTAATGAAACGGAGGAATAGTAACGTTTTTAACGGCAGGGTATCGCGGTATACCTTTCAAGTATCGGTACACCGTGCAACACTAGTCAGGAGTCAGTGTCTCTCCCCCAAACTCACACATATACAATTCGATATGAACTGAAGAGCCGCATGAAACTAGGCAAAGAGCCGCATGCGGCTCGAGAGCCGCGGGTTGGCCACCCCTGCTCTAGACTATGCTCCGTCCCTCTAGTCTACGCTCCGTCCCTCTAGACTATGCTCCGTCCCTCTAGTCTACGCTCCGTCCCTCTAGACTATGCTCCGTCCCTCTAGTCTACGCTCCGTCCCTCTAGACTATGCTCCGTCCCTCTAGCCTACGCTCCGTCCATCTAGTCTCCCTCTAGACTATGCTCCGTCCATCTAGTCTCCCTCTAGACCAGACCTGGGCATTGTACGGCCCGCGGGATGATTCTGACCGGCCCGCGAAAGATTACATGATAATTAGAAAATAAAACATATTTTGTAATTATCTTATGGGTGGACTAAAACCGCATTGCTTTTATTTTGAAGCCCATTTATTCTCACAATGCACGCAATCGTGCACGTCAACTGTGCACGTGAAATGCGTGTCTACCTTCTTTGTCACCCCTGAAAAATGCGAAAATGTCGGCTCATGCCAAAAAGAGGAAAGTGGATGCCGAAAGCAGAACTTTCAAACAAATATGGACTACTAATTTTTTCTTTACTGAAGTCAAGGGTAAACCTGTGTGTTTGGTTTGTTTAAAGAGTACAATTTGAAACGGCATTACGAGACGAAACATGCCACGAAATACAAAAACTTGACTGATGCCGAACGAGCGCGGACATCAACGGATTTACTAGCAAAGCTAGAAAAACAACAAGGCTGTTTTACAAAGCTGCATGCAGACAGAGATGCAGCGACCAGAACCAGCTTTGTGATAGCCCACAAAATGGCCCAGAACAGTAAGCCATTCTCGGAGGGGGAGTTTGTAAAAGAGTGCATGGTCGAGTCTGCAGCACTGCTATGCCCAGAGAAAAAAGAAGCGTTTGAAAACATCCCGCTGTCCCGCCGCACCGTGACGAGAAGGGTGGAGGACATCGCAGAGAATCTGGAGTTTCAGCTGCAAAGTGAACTGGGAAGCTTCGACTTTTTTTCTTTAGATGAGAGCTGTGACGTCCGTGACACAGCCCAGCTGCTCATATTTCTCTGGGGGATAACGCGCGACTTCAAGCTTACGGAGGAGCTGGCAGCAATGCGGCCAATGAAAGGAACCACAACGGGGAGTGATCTGTTCACCGAGGTAAACGCATGCATGGACAAACTGGGACTCGAATGGGACAGACTGGCAGGTGTCACTACGGATGGATGTCCGAATTTGACGGGGAAAAATGTTGGGCTTTTGAAAATAATGCAAGATAAAGTGAGTGAACTCAACGCAGAGCAGACATTGGTGTTTATTGTATTATTCATCAGCAAGCGTTGTGCAAGTCAGTGCTAAAACTTAGCCATGTGGTTGATGTTGTTACTACAACAGTTAATTTCATCAGAGCGCGAGCATTAAATCACAGGCAGTTTGTTTCACTGTTGGAGGAGCAAGAGAGCGAAGGTACCACACAGCTGTCAGATGGCTCAGCCTGGGCAAAGTGCTAAAAAGGTTTTGGGTTCTGAAATCAGAGATAAAGAGTTTCGTGAGATGAAAGGCAAAACCATCCCAGAGCTGTCTGATAAGGACTGGATGGCAGATTTAACATTTGCAGTTTATGTGACTGCAATGATGAATGCACTGAACACACAACTGCAGGGCAAGGGCCTTTTTGCTCATAAAATGCATAGCCATGTGAAAGCCTTCATGACAAAGTTGCAATTAATTTCAAGGCAACTAGGCAGCAACAATCTCGAACACATGAAAACCCTGAAAGAAGTCAAACCATCAGCTGATCACCGGCACAGGTACTCATTCATGTTAGGAGCACTGCATGATGAATTTTCAAGGCATTTTCAAGATTTCAAAAAGGTTGAGGATGAAATGCAGCTGGTTTCCTCTCCCTTTACCTGCAGTGTGGATAGTGCACCCACTGATGTTCAGCTTGAACTCATTGACCTGCAGTCTGATTCACTACTGAAAGAGCACTTTAAGTCAGCATCACTGCTAGAGTTCTACTCTGCTCTCAAGGAGGAGAACTTTCCAAACATGAGGAGACATGCTCAGAAGATGTTGATTCTCTTTGGATCCACCTACACATGTGAACAGACATTCTCAGTCATGAAGTTGACCAAATCCAGGTACAGATCCTCTCTCACTGATGAACATCTGTCAGCTGTGCTTCGCATCTCCACCTCAGACATTCAACCTGACTTTGATGGACTTGTTAAAGCTCAACAGAGACTGGATTTCTCACACTGAATGAAAAAAAAGAACTGAAGAACACTAAAATGTGGGAATATAGCAAGTGAAATGGGACACTTGATCTTTTTCTTTTCTTTTTTGCACAGTTCTGAAAACATTAAATGTTTAATATAGGCATGTAAAGTCAAAAAGGCTACAAAACTGGGACACTTTTCTTTACACAGTTACACAGTTCAGTGACATGTCTTGTTTATTTTGGCTACAAAGATGATGTGATGTCTTTAGAAAGCTAAGACAATCCTTGTTTCAATAATATATGAAACTCAAAATGCCCTTTGTTATTAATGTGACTGAAAATTAGTCAAATGTTTCAAATTTTGTTTATCATTTTGGAAATTCTATTTGAATAAATGATATTTTTGAAAGCTAACCTCACCTTTTAATTGCCAAATAATAACATACACTCTTACCAGCGGTCAAAACAATGCCATTTACTGCTTTTTATATAGAAATAAAATGTATATTATGCATAATTGAGTTCGGCATTTTGGCCCGGCCCTCCAAAATATTTTCAGTTGCTCATTTGGCCCCCTGGGAAAAATAATTGCCCACCACTGCTCTAGACTACGCTCCGTCCCTCTAGTCTACGCTCCGTCCCACTAGTCTACGCTCCGTCCCTCTAGTCTACGCTCCGTCCCTCTAGTCTACGCTCCGTCCCTCTAGTCTACGCTCCGTCCCTCTAGTCTCCCTCTAGTCTCCGCTCCGTCCCTCTAGTCTCCCTCTAGTCTACGCTCTGTCCCTCTAGTCTACGCTCCGTCCCTCTAGTCTACGCTCCGTCCCTCTAGTCTCCCTCTAGTCTACGCTCCGTCCCTCTAGTCTACGCTCCGTCCCTCTAATCTCCCTCTAGTCTACGCTCCGTCCCTCTAGTCTACGCTCCATCCCTCTAGTCTACGCTCCGTCCCTCTAGTCTACGCTCCGTCCCTCTAGTCTACGCTCCATCCCTCTAGTCTCCCTCTAGTCTACGCTCTGTCCCTCTTGTCTCCCTCTAGTCTACGCTCCGTCCCTCTAGACTACGCTCCGTCCCACTAGTCTACGCTCCGTCCCTCTAGACTACGCTCCGTCCCTCTAGTCTACGCTCCGTCCCTCTAGTCTACGCTCCGTCCCTCTAGTCTCCCTCTAGTCTACCTCTGTCCCTCTTGTCTCCCTCTAGTCTACGCTCCGTCCCTCTTGTCTCCCTCTAGTCTACGCTCCGTCCCTCTAGACTACGCTCCGTCCTCTAGTCTACGCTCCGTCCCTCTAGTCTACGCTCCGTCCCTCTAGTCTACGCTCCGTCCCTCTAGTCTACGCTCCGTCCCTCTAGTCTACGCCCCGTCCCTCTAGACTACGCTCCGTCCCTCTAGTCTACGCTCCGTCCCTCTAGACTACGCTCCGTCCCTCTAGTCTAGTCCGTCCCTCTAGACTACGCTCCGTCCCTCTAGTCTACGCTCCGTCCCTCTAGGTCTACCGCTCCGTCCCTCTAGACTACGCTCCGTCCCTCTAGACTACGCTCCCGTCCCTCTAAGTCTACGCTCAGTCCCCTCTAGACTTACGCTCCGTCCCTCTAGACTACGCTCCGTCCTCTAGTCTACGCTTCCGTCCCTCTAGATCTACGCTCCGTCCCTCTAGACTACGCTCCGTCCCCTCTAGTCTACGCTCCGTCCCTCTAGACTACGCTCCGTCCTCCTAGACTACGCTCCGTCCTCTAGACTCTACGCTCCGTCCTCTTAGTAATACGCTCCGTCACCTCTAGTCTACGCTCCGTTCCTCTAGACTAAGCTCGTCCTCTAGACTACGCTCCGTCCCTCTAGACTACGCTCCGTCCCTCTAGTCTACGCTCCGTCCCTCTAGACTACGCTCCGTCCCTCTAGTCTACGCCGTCCTTAGACTACTCCGCCCTCTAGACTACGCTCCGTCCCTCTAGACTACGCTCCGTCCCTCTAGACTACGCTCCGTCCCTCTAGTCTACGCTCCGTCCCTCTAGTCTACGCTCCGTCCCTCTAGACTACGCTCCGTCCCTCTAGACTACGCTCCGTCCGTCTAGACTACGCTCCGTAGTACCAATAAAAAAACACTCGCGGACCACCTAACTCCACAAATATCCAAAAACACATCGTTTTTTACAAATCGCCTGAAAATTGTACAAACCAGTGGCAACATGTCTGATGAAGGTGCTTATCTGGGCTATATCATGCAATCGAAAGTGAAACTTAAGCTCGTTCCATTGCGGAGATATTCCCGCGAGAGTGCGAAAAACTTAAATACATTTATTTATTTCAAATGTGAAATTTTACCAATATACTCACGGACCACTAGGGGGCCCTCACGGACCAACAGTGGTCCGCGGACCACACTTTGAGAAGCACTGCTCTCGACTATGCTCCGTCCCTCTAGTCTACGCTCCGTCCCTCTAGTCTCCCTCTAGTCACTGCTCCGTCCCTCTAGTCACTGCTCCGTCCCTCTAGTCTCCCACTAGTCACTGCTCCGTACCTCTAGTCTATGCTTCGTCCTTCTAGTCTCCCTCTAGTCACTGTTCCGTCCCTCTAGTCTCCCTCTAGTCACTGTTCCGTCCCTCTAGTCTACGCTCCGTCCCTCTAGTTTCCCTCTAGTCTACGCTCCGTCCCTCTAGTCTCCCTCTAGTCACTGTTCCGTCCCTCTAGTCTACGCTCCGTCCCTCTAGTCTCCCCTCTAGTCACTGTTCCGTCCCTCTAGTCTACGCTCCGTCCCTCTAGTCTCCCTCTAGTCACTGCTCCGTCCCTCTAATCTCCCTCTAGTCTATGCTCCGTCCCTCTAGTCTCCCTCTAGACTATGCTCCGTCCCTCTGCTCCGTCCCTCTAGTCTCCCTCTAGTCACTGCTCCGTCCCTCTCGTCTCCCTCTAGACTATGCTCCGTCCCTCTGCTCCGTCCCTCTAGTCTCCCTCTAGTCACTGCTCCGTACCTCTAGTCTACGCTCCGTCCCTCTAGTCTCCCTCTAGTCACTGCTCCGTCCCTCTAATCTCCCTCTAGTCACTGCTCCGTACCTCTAGTCTACGCTCCGTCTCTCTAGTCTCCCTCTAGTCACTGCTCCGTACCTCTAGTCTACGCTCCGTCTCTCTAGTCTCCCTCTAGTCACTGCTCCGTCCCTCTAATCTTCTAGTCTACGCTCCGGCCCTCTAGTCTACGCTGCGTCCCTCTAGTCTCCCTCTAGTTACTGTTCCGTCCCTCTAGTCTACGCTCCGTCCCTCTAGTCTACGCTCCGTCCCTCTAGTCTCCCTCTAGTTACTGTTCCGTCCCTCTAGTCTACGCTCCGTCCCTCTAGTCTCCCTCTAGTCACTGCTCCGTCCCTCTAATCTCCCTCTAGTCTACGCTCCGTCCCTCTAGTCTCCCTCTAGACTATGCTCCATCCCTCTGCTCCGTCCCTCTAGTCTCCCTCTAGT